AGTTTGAGGTTGCTGTGAGCTAGGCTGACGCCATGGAACTCACTCTAGCCAGGGCAACAGAGTGAGACTCTGTCGCAAAAAAAAAAAAAAAAAAATATATACATTTGCAAAACGGTGTCACAAGTCTTCTGTCACGTACTTTGTGAGGCAAAAGAGACAGATACGAATCCAAATGTAAAACGGTTAGAGCAAACAAAAATTGAGACATATCTGGTTCAGAAACAGACTTCAGAAAAACCTCAACTCTTACAATTTCTCAATCAGTAAAACAAGAAGATAAGCACAAAAGTGCCATTAGTCTACAAGGTACCTTTGTTTAAGACATTTTATTTTCATCCATCAGAAAATTATGTAATATACCGATTTTGACATATTACATAAAGTGACAAGAAGGCCATCTCGTGGAAAAATCCAGTGATAAATATATAAATTTATGATGGCTATGCTATCCCCTTAGATGAGAGTTTCTCAGCCTTTGCACATTTTGGATTGGTATTGCTGGGGTGGGGGGTTTCCTACTGTAGGAAGTGTAGCAACATCTCTGGCTTCTACGCACTAGATGCCAGCGGCATTCTCCCCGAATCACCTCCCTACCCTGCTGGGTTGTGGCTACCCAAAATGTTTCCAAACATTGCCAAATGTCCCCTGATGGGCAAAATCCCCTCTGATGAGTACCACTGCCTTAGGCGCAGTTCTGTTGTGCAAATGTACAACAATATGCAATGGCACTGCTTAGGCACAGATATGTTAAGTGATTTATTTCATTTAATAGTTTACACAATGATGTGGGATTTTAAATTAGAAGGCACAAAATTATAGTCCATCTCTTTACCCACAAATCTGCTAGAGTCAACCCCATGTCCAGGTCTATTAGAAAATACTACTGCATAATGAAATAGTGTTCTAGAGATCTCTTAAATAGTGACTCAATACAAAAAATTAACAACAAATATTTAATTACCTTTCTAGCATTTCTTCTGTTAATCAGTTGAACGCGTTCTTCTCCAGTGAGACTATTAACATCTAATTTGTTGGGGTTTCTGCAACGATGCCTTTTTTGTTTGGGCCTTCCCTCATGAAGCTGCATTCTCTAAAATACATAGACAAAGAAAATAGCTTTAAAATCTTTGTGCAGAATTACTCGAAATATTACAAATGAGCTTATCCAAGTAATTTAATCCTACATTATATAGAAGCATTTACCCTGTTAGTCATTTACACTTTAAAAATATTTAAATTTTTAGGTTTGATGCAATTCCTATCAAAATACCAATGTCGTTTTCCATGGAATTAGAAAAAACATGGATGGGCATGGCTGTAGTTTTGACTCAGGTGGTACAAAGGCAATTTATGTGAACAAAGCGTTTGTACTCCCATAATATTCTGAAAT